CTTTATGCAGATCATATTTTTATGAAAATTTCCTTTTTAATCTAAAAATAAAACAACTTGTATCTGCATAATTATGTAAGTATGTAGACTAAATAGAATTTTTAGAATGTGAACTTAACTTTTAACAAAATAGGTAATGACAAAAAAAATTCTGATTTTCATTAAAAATATGGTGTACACAAAACACAGTGCACGAAAGGAAATGGAACAAAGATGTGTGTGATATAGTATGTATGTATATGTTTGTACATATTTAAAAAAAAAAACATTAATTGCGCGAAGACTGAATATTTTCTGCTTGGCTTTCAATTTAGTTTTTTTGTGTTTTACGACCCGCTTCACAATTTACGCTTCATATATGAAGCTTTTTATTTTTTACTTTGTTTTTTCAAGTATTTTGTGGTTTTTTAATTTGAAAAATGTGGTCAAAATTGAAATATGTATTGTATGTACATATGTGTGTGGATTTAACTATTTGAGTTGCCAGTTATTTTTTGTTTATTACTATAGTTACATACATAGATGTATTCAAAATGTGTGCGCAAAACGGGCTCTCAAATAAAAAATATATGTTATTTTTAAAATGAGATGCCTGTAAATATGTATGTATTATAGAGGTCTTCATTTCTTCTTTTGTTTAAGAAGGATTTTTGTTCCCTACTTCAATCTGCATCATTCCTAAAAATATGATCTCTTTTAAGTGCATAATTACTTACTATGTACTTACACGCATATGAAATTTTTTTTTCTTATTAAGCATTTGTTTTCGATAATAAATTGATTTATCGTTTTATAATTTCTTTATACGAGTATTCGTTCAACAATTTGATTAAATAAAATTTTGATAATGAAAACCTAGTGATTAAGTTTCATACCAATTAGATTTTACCTCGAACATATACATACGTACATACATATATACATATATGAATGTATTCGCATGCATTATATTTTATGAATTTTTTTGAAAACAGATCATGCAGAAAAATTTCAAATTCCATGTTAAAACCAATACTAATAAATCAGTTTTTTTTTGTTAAAATATTATATATGTATGTATGGATGTATGTAATTTCCAAAACAATGAACTGCCATAATTTCTTTTCTGTTTTTCTATATTTTCAATTATTCTTTTTAAACCATACATATGTCAAAATAATTAACTCTTTACATGAAAAAATCTGGCCACTTTAAAAATTGGTGCATATATAAGAAATCGAGTAAATCAATTTAAACATAAATGTACATAAATACAATATTTCATCATGTGTGACTAAATAAATAATAAAATTTATAAATAATATTAAAGTAAATAATAAAAATTAACAAAAATTTATTGATCTACTGGTATGTGCATATAAATATGCTGTTTATTTATACATATACATATGTATGTACATACATACATATATGAATGAACAGTTTATTTTTCTTTTAAATAAATCAATATAGTTTTTTTTCTGTAGAATTAAATTTCGGAATTAAAATGTCCAAAGTATCCAATAACATAATAGTAATTAATTTACAGAATATTTTTATTTTTTTAATTTTTGATTCCGAACTGATTTTTCAAAATAGAATATTCGAAATCTCGCTCATATGTATATATGCAGGTATGCATACCATTCACACAATAAATTAAAATCAAACAAAAGAATTAATTATAATAATGAGGCAATTTTTAAACAAAAAATTTATTTTAAAATCAAATTGTAAACTGAAACTAAAATATAAAAAATAATTATATACATATAATGTACACATATTTTCCTTAATTTCTTTCTCTTTCTTTATACATACCCCAATAATTATTAAAAAATTATTTATGTATTTCTCATAAGTCATTTACCATCGTCATGCTTTGATATTCATGCAAAAGCAGAAGTGGATATGCATAACTTTTTTTTAATATTTTCGTTATTATAAATACATGTAAATACATAATTATGTATATATAACCTTTACATACATAATATGGACATGTAACAATATCTATAATAAAACCGCGATGAGAATAAATCAACAATACCTTTTTGTTCTCTTCATACTTATATAATACCTTCAAATTATAGTCCATACCAAATTTTATATATAAAAACTGACTTTTTTTATTATGAATGTTTTATAAAAATTTCACTGTATATAATTTACATGAAAACTCAGATATAATTTAAGTATGTATGGTTTATCTAATAAAAGATTTAAAGAAGAATGATGTAAGTGGTAAGTGGTAATTTTGTTCAAAATGTACACGGTGAGGTAGTATGATAGTTTCTATACAAAATATTAGAGAACCAATATACCGTTATGTAGATCTATAAATTTCGAAAAAATCTCCTGGAACAATATAATGATCTAGCATCAACAGCTTCGAACCTTTTATTGATATTTGAAAAACTGAATTTTTTAAAATACCCCTTAGCGTTCGAGTCTCTCCAATTCCATGCATACGATATTTCCTAAATTCCAAGCAATCATCTGCCAAGAGCTTTAACCCCAAAATCGGCTCACCTGTGTTTAATACATGTACATAATATTCTAGAATAAGCATTTCTTGCCGTATAATAAAAAATATTTTTACTCAAATATATTACAAAATTAATAATTGTGTAAGAAATAAATTAATTTTTTGTAGTGCACAAAAGAATCATATTTCAATTAAATTTTGAAAACTTATATGATATGTAAATTAATTTTAAAAAACTATATGTATATATATATATATATATAACTTAAACAGTAGGTCACATAAAAAATTATTGCTATTTAATAAAATTTTGATAGCGCTTTTATTATTTAAGTATGATTAAATCAAAAAAATGAAATATGAGATACTTATATTATAAAAAATTAAAGTTAAAATTAATTACAAGAAAATATTTTAAATATATTCCTTATGTGTATGTCTTAATTTATATGTATGTATATATACTTAATTCTAATTTACTTTTTTAATAATTAATAAATGAAAGTTACTTTTTTACTTTTTTAATTGAATCCTTTGGCCCAGAAATAATTTTAGAATAGAAATAGCTGAATATAGAAAAAATTTTACGGCATGCTCGAATTCATCATCAATCATCATTCATTTAATTATTTTGGTTTTGTTCTCTTCTCGTGAAGAATGGATTTTATATCATTTTACCAGTCAAGATACACACCAGTTCATATAATTTGTACACACATATATACATATTATGTTTGTTAGAATCTTAAAAATTATAATTACATGTTATTATATTTAATATCACTGTTTAGCTATTATAAAAATTTGGTAACTGAAAATATGACTTTATAATAATTTATAGATACAAATTAAATCTTCTTGATGTTTAGTTTTTGTAAGCCAATTCAAAATTTTTGGTGAGCAAGATCATTGTAATAAAAGCATGTATTCCGAAATAGATGCACAAACTTACATACATAGTTGTTTAGTAATCCTAGAAATCTTTCTTTTAATTTTTGAATTTTGTCCATGGGGGTTCATTTCATATTTCAATCGCAACTACAAACTTTTCTCAATCTTCTAAAGCCAAACAAACGGTTACAATTAATTAAACAAATTTTTAATGCTGATTGTTTTGATAACAATCTTTACTCAATTTTTTCTCTATTTCTTATTTGTGGATCAATTTTGCTTTTTGGTTACAAATAAACAGAAAAAAATAAACCAATCCTCGTTATTCGTTAATTTCGGAAAATATTTTTTTATAATATTTTCCATATTATATATGCCACATATTTTATAATTCCAATTTTATTTGAATAATCTTATTGTAGGTTCCGAAATAAAGCTGCAAAGATGTTATGAATTAAATTGGCACAATCAAATTATTATTTTTTTTTTTGTCTTTTAAAAATCCTATGTAAAATAGTACAAGTAAAATGTTCCGATTCTATGTTATCACCAAATCCGTGACTACGATTCATACATTATATTGATGGCATTATCACTGTGTATTCAATCTTTAATAGGGCATTTCGTATAACTTGTACGTAACTACGTATTTCATTTTTTCATCATTATCATAAATTTATTATCATAAAATTATCTATTCGTCTATATTCATTAATATTAAATTTATTGTCATCATATGTCATCATGTATCCACATATGTATATCTATCAGCTTTTTTAGGGATACATCGTATTTATATATGCAGGTACAAATAATAAATTTTAGTTAACAATTTTTTAAATAGCACTTCTTGTGGGTACTTTGAAAAGGACTTCCTCGTTTGTGTGTGCAAATCCAAAATTTGTTGTAATTGTTTTTTAAAACAAATGCTTAAAATATTATAAAATTCAATTACATACCCATAAAGGGTTTATATGAACACACATAATTATGTTATATGTATATGTACGTACATATAAGAATTCTAATTACTTAATACTTTATTTCAATAAAAAACAAAATCCATGAACTGAAAATAATTGTTTAAACTGCAATCAAAATCCTATTTGCATAAAAATTATCCTTTTTTCTATTCTATTTTACAAGTGGATATACATACATATGTGTGTATGTATCCATTTTACTTCTACAAAACCCAAATTGTAGAATTCCTTTTATTCATCTGTTCATTTTTTTTCAAATTCTTTCTTATATTTTTGAACACACAAAAAGGACAAAAAGCTTCACATAATCTTTTATTGTTAATTAATATCAATTTACATTTTGATTCACACAGTCCAATATTGTACACATACACATATACATAGATATATATTTACATTTACATGATTATGTTGTATATTTTATTATAAAACATCATTGACATTTTTTTTTTACTCTCAATTTCACAACAAAATTTTGCGGTTTAACCTTCACATAAAAATATAAAAACTTCGCAAACATTGCATATTTGAAACAAAAATATAACTAAAGTCGGTCAAAAGCGCGTGTAACATTATAAGTATATTGAATGTAAATAATGCACATATTACTAAATTAAAAATGTGTTATTTTAGAAAATATTTCACGATCGAAAACTTACCGTTAGGTCTTAACATTTTTATACCCTGATGTAACTGAAAACAGTCTTCTGTAAAATGTTCAGAACATATTCTGGAAACCTTCGGCCTTATCGGTATATTCTCAAGAAATTCTGTTAGAGGTTTTTGATTTAATCCATTTTCTGATATTATATAAAATAATATATTTGAATGAGTATCATCATCGATATTTTGGCAACCAGGTGCTATACAACAATAGATACTTTTATTATAAATAAAATTGTTCTTTTTAATTCGGACCATTTTTGTTTTTTCTTTTTTGGTCAAACTACAATTTTATTTCGATTATTTTTTTTATAATAATTTAAACTAATTTTTTATTCACGTAAAAGTAAAATATATTTTCATATGTTTTTTATTGCAGTTTATATATAAATGTAATTAAAAATATTAAAAATACAAAAGAAAATAAATCGCAATTAAAATTAATCAAGAAAAATCATTCACATATCATAAAAAAATAAACACTGTATTTGTATTATTCTCCGATATGATTTATTCCACAACTTTACTGAGCAATCTCCTATTTAAAACTAAAATTTTTTTTACAGCTAACTTCCCTCTATACCTTCGCTTGAAATAAATTTTTTTTTCTCTTCTTATTATTATTTTTATTTTTCATATAGCTTTGCATTTTCTTTGTACAATCAATCCTCTTGTCTGCCAGATAAAAATTCGTATTTTGTTTTTGTAGCATGTATAAAAATCATATAAAAAATTATTGTGTACAAAATTCTATACATTAACTTTATACATACATACATAATATATAAAGAATGGCATCATTCGCATTTATATGTATGTAATTGCTATAGCATATAGAATAGGATACTTGAATGTACTCACAAAATATGTATGTACATATATCATTAGCAGAATTTAAATGAAACAGAATTTATTAAATGATTTTGTACACAATAAGTACATATATATGTTTGTATGTTTGTTATTTATGTACATATTATAAGCCTATTTATTAAATAAAAATATGAAAGAGGGGATGTGTTTGTTTATAAAAAGAAGTATGTTGCAGGTATGTACATACATATGTACATATATGTATACACATGTGTACAAATAGAAAGTTCCTTTCTTTTTGCCTGTTTCTAAATATTTTCAAATGCTGATTAGTTTTTTTCTTTGTTGATTTTTTTTGATTTTTATATTATCAGCTTAAAAATTTTTGAAATTTTATAAAGCCAGTCATAAAATACACATTTTTCCCATCTGTATTCTCAGAAAGGTTGGCAATAAAATTTATGGCTGTATGGACATAGGGTTTGGGTTGAAATATAATACATTTTATCAATTTATATATGTACATACATACATATATACATATGTACACATGTTTAACTCGTAAATTTCAAGTTCAAGCAAAATGATTTTTATTCCACATGTAGACATTATTTTAATAATTACATAGCCTTAAGTAGGTTTATTATATAATTATCAAATTACATTCATAATAATTATTCATCTTATGTACATAATTTAACTGCTCTATAGAGGATGTAACTCTAGAATGGTGAATAAATTTTAATAAGAATTTTTAAAGCACAAATAAGTGTGTTGTAACTCAACACATCCGAGAGACCTGTAGCATTTTCAATGCCCTTAGCATAATGGATTTTAGTTTTGCATTGAGTTTTTAAAAGATTATGAATTTTTTGGGCATAGTATTGAAAAATCTAATGTTTTCATTTTTATAGACAGCTTTCATTGTGTGATGGTTTCACTTATTTAGATAGATTACAACCCCTGTATGTACGTACGAAAGTTCAAGTTGTTTCGTATAGTGATGCATTGACATTTACCAGCGTGTAGATTTTTGTTAGTAAGAAAAAAAATGTGCAACAATAGACCTCCATCGCAACCCGTTTGGTATTGAATTGAATATTTTTGTATAATTTATGACATTCATATGTACATACTGTATATATATGAGTATATATAAGTACTCATATATATGTATATATAAAATATGTATACATACTCTGGTTTTTATTCATGCATGGTCGTGCATAATCACTGTTACAACTCTTACAATTGGAGTATATATTAGTCGTATATGTATGTGCATACACACATATATATTCGTTTATGAGAGTACTCTTTTATAAATAATATTCCCATTATGTGTACGCATACACATTACAAACACCACAAACATACTTTTGTGATTAAGGGTTAAATCAACACTTATAGCAAAAAAAAAATACTTTTTTATTGTTATTGCTGAAAAATTATAAAATATACTTATCTACATTTGTGGCAGTTTAGCACTATTAAAAGAACATTGGGAAATTCAATAAAAATAGGGAATAGCAGAAAAATTATAGGAACTTCAATTTGAAAGAATTAGTTTCAGTAAATGTAAAATTTTAACTGAATTTATGAATTAATTTATAATTGTACATATGTATGTATGTAAATAATATGTAAGAATATGTTTCCACCTATTAATATATACTTATGTAAACATATTAAATAAATACATAAATCTATTTTTAAAGAATTTGTTAAATTATATTAGAGAATACAGTGCAGAAAAAATTAGCGAAAATTATGGGAAAAAAAGAAACAACAAAAACTAGGTATGGGTAGTATATGTATATATTATGTACGTGTACATAAGTGAGTAGCTTGAAAGACAAAATGGCCTAACCCACATTTAGGTTTTATTCCAAAGTAGCATTTTAAAATATACCAAATTTTAAAATACTTCTAAACTCTATATTTATAGAATTATAGTCTCAGTCAATTGGCTTGTTGTCTTTACGATTTGTTGAACTTTTTATAAATTTTTGTGTGTTGAGGAATTTTGGTTTTTTGTTTCGCAACTTTTCATGTGTTACAATTGTACTTATTGTACTCGTATGTATATACATATTGTGCGTATGTACATATATTTCAAAAATGGACACTTGTACATACGTATGGAAGTGTATGTCATTACTGATGTTTACTGTACTGATTTGAGTCGCAGTCTGATCATTTCATCCTTCTCTTATCTACTCATTCTCGATAGTTTCTTACATTTTTGTCTGTCATTGTAAAACAAAATCTTAAGTAAGGTTCATTTTCCAGTGCATTGAGGTAAAAAATTTATCCAAAACAAAAGTTTATCAGAACTATATTTGCCTACCTTAACAAATGGTAACAAACAAGTAAGAAAAAGGTTCAATTTAAAATACGGTCTTTCAATAGACAAAACTCTATAATAAAAGTGTCCAATTATGAATATAGGTATGTGCGTATGTATTAAGCCATTCTTTTATGATATCGCAAATATAAACAAAGGTATGTATTTAAAAATAAATACGCTGATCTTTTTCCTTTTTTATCACTGAAACCAGAAAATAGAACGATGTTTTGTTTGCTTTGTTTAATTGTTTTTTTCTTCTTTTTATTCATTTTAAAGGTACAGCAATACTTAAAGCCTGAGTAAATTATAATGTTTATCAATTTTAAATTCAAGAGTACATTTTGCAGTATATTATATATACTCAAGAGTATATATCCATGCTATAAACTTGGAAATTCTATGAGCTTATTACCTGTTTGATATTTTTACCTGAGATATTTTGGATATTTAACCTTAATACCTGGGATAATTTAAAGTTTTTGAACGCAATAATAATTAAAGTATTGGGGTTTTGGTTTATTTCTAATTATTTGTACATATCTTTGCGTCTCAAACATTGTACATACATGGATTACATAGTTAAACTATTGATTAATTCAGAAGAGGAGTATTACAATATTACTTAAATTGAAGAATACTATATTTCAACTGATCACAATTGTAAATGAAAGATTAAATAGCATATTTCAAACGATTTATGCATACATTTCCAACACATTGCAAGAGGAAATCAGTGATATAATGATATCGCTAAAAAAAGAACTAAATATGGTAGCTCCTTTTATAAGCAATTTAATATTTCATGATTAAAAAATTATTTTAGGAACACACTTTAAGTCAAATTTTGTTTTCAAGTCTAAAATAATAGCTAAATTAGAAAATAACTACTTAGCTATGCACAGAAGCTTCAAAGTGAAAACAAACTGACTATACAGATGTGGTTCAATCACACCACTCTTTTATCGACAGACAAAAGAGACCTTTTTAGACAGTTTCCATTCCAGCATCTGCTTTTGAATGGTATTGTCAAACTAAGGTGCTTCAAACTGGAGAACGCGACAGCTTAGAAAAATAATATAGCGACCAAACAGAACAGTCAATTATAACTTATGAACTAATAGCGATACGATCTTACACGATCACCTCCTAAGTTCTTTGCTATTTTTCCGGTAGATTTAATTATTTAGGCGGGCACAACTGGAATACATTGAACTGAATTAATTATGATGACATGTCAGAATGAAGGAACGCATCCTTGCACGAGTTAAAGTAGCAAAATTAAATCTAAATAAAGTTGGGTCAAACCAATGGTTTGTATTATAGCACTTTTCCCTTCAACAAGTGAAAATTCTGCTTTTAAATACAGTCTATGTATACCTATCACACTATTAAAATTATTTTCATTCATACACAAAACTATTTCTAAGATTGCATATATTTAGGATGACGCATACATGCAGTCTTTGAAATAAAGCAAAAATTAATACAAAGTGGGATTAACATAATGCTCGATTTTAAGGGTTAATTGTGTAAGTTAAGAAAAATAATTATATTTTTTAATGTCATGGAATTTACCGTTAGTTTTTTGTGTTTATAGAAATTTGAAAAAGCTTGCGGTTTCGGAAATATAAGGTGTCAAATATTCAAATTTTACAAATTTCAAGAGGCGATAACTTGAGAGTGGGTAGAGATGGAAAAAAATTTTCTTTTAACGAAATTAACTATTTATTAGTGTCTAAAAGCCCCTAAAATTTCAAGCTTCTACAAGCTGGGGTCTAGAAGAAAAACGGCATCAAAAATTTGGGAAAAAAAGACTTTAGATAACGGTAAATTTGAACGGCTATTTTGTTTTTCTAAAGTTTAGCCATAGTATACCGCGCTAGGGGAAGCAAGCCGCTGCCTTTCTGCGTTTGCAAAATTTAAAAAATGCTTATGTTTTCATTGCAACAAATAGTTAAAAAAGGCCATTTTTAGGGTTTTAGGGGGGTATAACTTTTAGAGGGAGGGAGATAGGTGAAAATTTTGTTCTACGGAAATAAGTTTCTAGTAAAGATCTATGTACGTACAAAATTTCAGATTTCTATCTTCAAGGGTGTAGAAGTTTTGTAAACAGACACACGGACAGACGGACGGACGGACGGTCGGAGACGGACGGACGGACATAGTGAAACTAATAAGCACTTTTTTTCAAAAAATTTTTGGAAAAGTGCTAAAAAGATGAGCTTTGTCGCAACGCAATACGTAAAGGAGCTTCTAAACGACGAGAATATTTACCGAATTTTGGCGGTATGAGAATTTTCTTCCGGTCTCGGGACACCTTTGCTGCTCTCTACGACTGCCTACTATGGAAACCACTTTACAGT